CATCACCAGCATCATCACTGTCATCATCAGCATCATCAGCACCATCATCACCAGCATCATCACCAAGATCATCGCCATCATCAGCATCAACATCATTACCAGCATCATGCCCAGCAGCATAATCATCATCATCACAATCATCAGCATCATCATCCTCATTACCATCAGCATCTTCCTCGTCGACGTCGTTATCAGCATCCGCATCGCCATCATCATCACCATCATCATCGTCAGCGTCATCGTCATCATCATCGTCATCGTCTGAACCATTAGCATCAACATCACCATCACCAACACACCTACCAAAATCATCAACATCACCATTATTACCGTGACGATCACCCTCACAGACACAACATTCATCATAATCAGCAGTACCATCATGATCGTCAGCAACATCAGCACCATCATCAGCATCATCTCTTCCACCATCATCATCATCATCATCATCGTCTCAGCATCGTCGTCGTCATCGTCATCATCAGCATCGTCACCATCATCGCGATCATCATCACACTCATCATCATACTAATCATCATCATCATCATCATCATCATCATCATCATCTTCATCATCATCATCATCATCATCACCATCACCATCAGCATCATCATCAGCAACATCATCGTCATCATTATCATCCCCATCTTCACCATCGAAATCAAGATCATCATAATATTCAGGATACTCATCATCAGCATCACCGTCATCATGACCATTACCATCATCATCTTCATCATCGTCGTCCGCAGCCTCATCATCATCAGCGTCGTCATCATCTTCACCATCGTCATCGTGAATTATCTTTATCATCATGACCATCACCGTCACCATCACCAGCATCAGCAGCATCACCACCATCATCATCACCAGAATCATCACCATGAGCATCATCAGCATCATCTTCACCTTCATGATTGTCATCATCATCATCATCAATACAATCAGCATCGTCATCATCACCATCATCATCATTACAAGAATTATCATCATCATCATCATCGTCATCATCATCATCAATACCAACATCATTATCATCATCAACATCATCATCACCATGATCCACATCATCAGCATCATCATTACCGTTATCATCATTAACCCCACCACCACCAGCATCATCATCAGCAGCATCATCATCAACATCATCATCATCATCCTCAGCGTCATCATCATCGTCATCATCACCATGATCATCAACACCACCACCACCACCACCAGCATTATCATCACCAGTATTATCAATACCTGAATCAGCATTATTTTCATGACCACCACCATCACCATCATCATCATCATCATCATCATCATCATCATAGTCATCATCATCATCATCATCATCATCAGTACCAACATCATCATCATCATCATCAGTATCATCATCATCCACATCAATAGCATCATCATCAGCAGCGTCATCATGATCAGCATCATCAACATCGTCATCATCATCATCCGCATCATCATTGTGACCACCATCATCATCATCAGCATCACCATCCACATCCTCATCATCATCAGCAGCATCATCTTCTTCATCATCATCATCATGATCGTCATCGTCAACATGACCATCAGCATCACCATCACCACCATCATCGTCAGTATCACTATCACCATTACCATCATCATCATCATCATCATCATCATCGTGATTATCACCATCGCCATCACCATCACCAGCACCACCACCATCATCATCATCTCTCCCAGCCTCATCATTACCAGCATCATCATCCCCATCCTCGTCATCATCGTCATCATCAGCATCAGCATCTGAATCATCATCGACGGCATCATAACCATAATAATAATCATCATCATCATCATCATCATCCATATCACCATCAACCTTATCACCATCATCATCATCAATACCATCATCATCATCCCCACCACCACCATCATCAACATCATCATCATCATCCACATTATCAGCCTCATCATTAGTATCATTACCATCATCATCAGCAGAATCATCATCATCACCACAACCACCACGACCATCATCACCACCATCAACATCATCATCATCATCTGAATCATCATTGTACACATGACCATGATCAGCATCATCAGTACCATCGTCGTCATCATCATCAGCATCATCATCGTCATCATCCTCATCAGCATCAAAAGCATCCTCATCATCATTATTATCATCTCATCCTCATCCTCATCATCATCCCAATCATCATCCGCATCATCACCATCACCATCACCACCACCATCATTGTCATCATCATCATCATCGTCCTCCTCATCCTCATCATCATCATTACCATCACTATCAGCATCATCCTCAGCATCATCATCAGCATCGCCATCATCGTCAACATCATCATCGTCATCATCATCATCATTCACATCCTCGCCATCGTCCTCGTCAGCATCATCATCGTCATCCACAGCATCATCATTATCAGCATCAGCACCATCATCATTACCATCATCAGTATCATCACCCCCACCACCACCACCAGCATCATCATCAGCAGCAGCATCATCATCGTCATCATGTTCATCACCACCTTCTCATCATCATCACCATCATCACCATCCTCAACATCACCATCACCACCATCATCATCATCATCGTCATCACCATCATCTGAATCATCATTATCACCATGAACATCATCATCAGCATCATCGTCGTCATCACCATCACCATCATTATCACCATCGTCAACATCATCAGCATCATCATCGTCATCATCATCCGAATCATCAGCATCATCATCGTGATCATCATCAGCCTCCTCATCAGCAGCACCATCATCATCAGCATCATCATTAGCATCAGCATCATCCTCATCATCATCATCATCATCGTCACCATCATCATCATGAGCATCAGCATCATTATCAGCATCCTCATCCTCATCCTCATCCTCCTCCTCCTCATCGTCATCACCACCACCACCATCATCATCATCATCCTGCTCCTCATCCTGATCATCATCATCATCATCATCGTCATCATCATCGGCATCATCATCAGCAGCATCATCATCATCGTCGTCATCATCATCGCCAGCATCATCATAATCATCTGAAGCATTATGATCCTCATCATCATCACGATCATCATCGTCAGAGTTATCGTCACTATCATCATCATCCACACCATCATCATCAGCCTCATCATCATCGTCATCATCAGCATCATCATCCTTACGAACATCCTCATCAACCCTACCACAACCACCACCACAAGCATCATCACCATCAGCAGCAGCATAATCATAATCCCTCACCATCATCATCATCACCATAATCATCAACATCGTCTCGGTATCGTCATCATCCTCAGCATCATCACCATCATCACCACCACCATCACAATGGCCATCAACATCATGACCATCACAACCATAATCACCATCATAATCTTCAGTATCAGCATGTCCAGCATCAGCATCATCGCTGTCTGTTATCCTCATCAGCAGCATCATCATCCTCATTATCACCAGCAATATCATCATGAGCATCATCATCACCATCATCATCATCCTCATCCTCATCATCGTCATCATCATCATCCTCATACTCATCATCACCATCACCATCATCATAAACAGAAACATCATCATCAACAGCATCAACACCACGGCCATCTTGTTATTACCACCATCATCATCATCATCATCATCATCATCATCATCACCGTCATCACCAGTATCACCACCATCATCAGACTCATCATCTGAATCATCATCACCATGTTCATCATCAGCATCATCGTCGTTGTCATCTTCAGCAGCATCGTCATCGTCATCATCATCACCAGCATCGTCATCATCAACATCATCATCTCCATCACCATCACCATCATCATCATCATCCTCATCATCATCAGCATCATCATCTTCATAATCATCACCATCCTCATCATCATCATCATCATCATCCTCACCATCATCACCATCATCACAATCATCATCGACATCATCAGCAGCATCATTACCACCATCATCATCATCATCCCCACCACCACCACCGACAGCCTCATCAGCATCATCATCCTCAATATCATGACAATCACCATCATCATCATCATCATCATTACCATCACCACCATCATCATCGTCATCCGCAGCCTCATCATCAGCATTACCATCATCATCATCATCATCATCATCATCAACATCATCATCATCATCTTCATAATCGCCACCATGAATCATCATTATCACCATGACCAGCATCATCAGCATCATCGTCGTCACCATCATCATCAGCAGCATCATCATCGTCATCATCACCATCAACATCATCATCATCATAATCATAATCACCATCATTATCCTCACCATCCTCATCATCATGACTCGTCATCATCATCCTCATGATCATCATCACCATGAGCATCATCAGCATCATCAGCATCATCATCATCATCATCATCATCATCATCATTACCATCATCATTATCATCACCCCCATCACCACCACCAGCATCATCATCAGCAGCATCAGCATCATCCTCTTCCCTCATTATCATCATTACCACCATCATCACCCTCAACACCACCAGCATCATCATCAGCAGCAGCATCATCGTCTTCCATCATTATCATCATCACCATCATCACCCTCAACACCACCATCATCACCACCACCATCATCACCATCATCATTCTCATCATCATGATCGTCATCATCATCGTCAGCATCATCATCATCGTCATCTGAATCATCATTATCCGCATGACCGTCATCATCAGCATCATCGTCGTCATCATCAGCATCATCATCACCCTCACCATGATCATCATCATCATCCTCCTCGTCATCATTATCAGCATCATCGGTAGCATCATCAGCATTATCAGTATCATCATCATCCTCATCCTCATCATCATCTGAATATTCATTACCACCATGACCATCATGATCATCAGCCTCATCGTCATCATCACCATCGTCATCATCATCATACTCATCATCTTCACACTCATCTCTGGCAGCAGCGAGGGCGGCGGCGGCAGCGATGCCTGAGGCGCCCAGCGGACTGGCCGCGCGCCGCGCGAGTGGTGGCAGCGGGTGCTGTCGGCTCGCGGCCATGCGGGAGCCGCCCTCGGCGGCACGGTGTCTGGGCCTGGGGCGGAACGGAGGGGCAAAAAGGTAAGGAAGGAGGAGGAGGAGGAATGAGCAGGAAGGACGGAAGGAGGAAATCCCTATGGGCCTCTGGAGGTCTCCAGGGCTCCATGAAGAGAGGGGAGGAGAAAAAGGTGGTCTGGAGGCGGAGGTGGAGGAGAGGGGAAGGGGTGTGGACCAGGAGCAGGATCTGGACAGAGGGAGATGAAGCGAGAAGCGAGGAAGCGAGGGAGAGGAAGCGGGGGGAGAGGAGGGCACAGAAGAGAGAGAGAGAGAGAGAGAGATCCGAGGGGTGCGACAGGTGCCCCTGGCGCTCTGGGGCATCTGGAGGACAGGGGATCCCAGGAGGAGCCTCGCCATCGAGGGGCGCACTGCAAGACCGAAGGATGGAGACTGCGAGAGGGGGAGGGGAGGGGAGGGGAGGGGAGGGGAGGGGAGGGAGGGAGGGGAAGGGAGGAGACTGCAGGAGGGGGGGGAGGGGCGGGGATAGGAGGGGACGATGGGGAGCTCTCGTGGCGGGTGTTGTCATAGTTGCCCGAGGCCCAGCGTGCCCCCAGCGGTTCGCTCCATTTTTGGAGCCCCATGGGGCCATCCGGGCCGCGCGAGTGGCGCCCTGCCGCAGGGGCCTCTTTGGGGGCACCCTGGCCCAAGGGCACTTCTGGCAACACGCGAGAGATAAAGGATGACTACCTACCAAACCACCCCAACCCAACCCGAAGACCCGGATTTGACCCGAATTTCGGGTTGGGGGGGGTACGGGTTCCATGTGTTTTTTCGACGTTCCCCGACCCCCCCCCCACTGGAAATCGAGGGTAAATCTGATCCTTCGGGTTGGGTTGGGGTGGTCTGGTAGGTGGTGAAAAGGAGGACGAGAACAAGGATAATGTTGATGAAAGGCTGCAGGGTGCAGAAGTAAGATGCCTCGCCGCGACGCGGGTGGCGCGAACTACGGGCCGATCTCCTCTTCGGGGAGAGGCCAAAGCTCGGCAGCCTCGGCCTTGGCGAGGAAGAGGAGGATGAAGTCGATGATGAGGAAGGAGGAGAAGCGACGGAACAGAACGGACCAGCACGGAACGCCCGAGGGGAAGTGCACAGCACCAAAGCAGTTAACTGGGACCATCGGTGGGGGCTTAATACAAGGACTGGGTCTAAGCGAGACTGGAGGGTCAACAGTCCTAGCCTCGGAGAGGAGGGGAGGCGAGCACAAGTCGGAGAAGAGGGAAGGGAAAGGGAGGAGAGGGAAGGGACGGGGCGAAGCTGGGGCGGCAGGAGAGGGAGGAGAGTAGGTGAGAGGAGAGCTCAAGGAGGGGAGAGGAGAGCTCGAGGAGGGGAGAAGAGTAGGGAAGAAGCTGGGGCAGCAGGAGAGGGAGGAGAGAGGGGGGAGAGTAAGACAAAACAACATCCTCTCATTCCCTTTCCAGCTGCCTCCGCCAACACTACTAGCACAATGGCCGCTGCTGCGCCCACCAGTGCTTATGTTTCTGTTTCTGATACCGTCCCGCTGTGGGTACAGCTACGGCTATCGTAACGCCTTCAGTGTTTCCGCATCGCGCACCAGCTACAAACAGACACAGCTGATATTCCACTGACTACGCAGAAGTCTACACGAGTATCTAGTCGAACGAGTGGCTGGTTGATTGACAGGCTCCTCCCCTTCCTTCAGATCTCTGTCTGTCACTCGTCGGGTCGAAATGGTATTCCTCACAAGCTCAATGGTCGTCCGTACCAGTGCATACAAGTTGGCTAACTTCACAGCCCTAATTACGTTCCACATTGTTTTGCGAAGCTGGCCCAGGCTTTCCTGCGTTAGATCGTGGCTCAGAAGATTCCTCGTCGGACTTGTCCTTTGCGGCAAGTACCTCGCTAGAAGCCCAGACATGAGCGGCACACAAAAAAGAAGCCGTTACAGCCGCTTTGCGAAACAGGCTCAGCATGGTAAAATATGAATGGGCATGCGGCATGCCAGACTCTGTAGATCGCGATGCCTTCCTGATTGTCCGCGCTTCTGCTTTGGCCGCAGTTAGTGAAGGTCTTGGCGCTGGAGGTCGCGATGCACCATTCGGGCCATGTACAAAACCTTTGGGCCAAAGCATCGACGGAACCAAAGATTTCGACCGCAATGCCCGAATTGAGGGGAACGCCGAAGCATAAACAACTCTCGCACACCGCGCCAGAGCAAAGCACCAGTGCAGTGTTGTGCACAGCCGATTCCACTACAATGAGGGGAACGAGCTGCCCGAAATCTGCAGCGGATTCTGCAGTTTCACCGTGGCAGGCCCCCTCTGTCTGAAACCCGATCTTGGGGGCCCTCCCCACGACGGCCCCATCCTGCTCAAGGCCGAATCACCGCTCAATCCCTGGCCTGGCACCGCCCACTCCATCATGACCGACGCGCCCCTCTTCGAAGCTAATCTCGTCGACTCGTTCCCACACCTAGCATCGTAGATACTCTTTCCCCTTCACTGAATGGGGCCCTGGGACACACAAATAAATACACACAAATAGAAGGATTCCCCATATTTTCCCATACTTTCTGGGTTTTTTGTCTTCCCCCCCAACCCCCATATTTTCCCATATTTTCTTAGGAATCGACGATTAATTGTGTCTGTGTGTTTTCCCCTCCTGATTCACCCCGTGGTCGACACGGGACCTCCCTTCCCGGACTCAATGGTGTTCTCGCCAACTGCCTCCAAATCGAACTCTGGAGCCAATACCGTGCGTGATCGGTGAGCTGCCGCAATCGGCCGTGTCCGCGCAGTGCTTGTCCGTCCTGCCTGGCGCGCTCCATAACGAGACTGTCAAGATGGCCAGGCAGACTTCAGGTATTGACAGCTTTCCTGCTGTTCAACCCACCACGCGAGCTGCGCATCTGCGCAAGCCTTGCACAGGCGTAGATCGAGACTAGATTATCCTTGCCGTTCATCGCGGCTCCCCGCCCGGAGGATCAGAAACGGTGCACCATAGACAAGCAATGTCAATCCGCGCGCCACGCCTCATGGCTCTGAACGCACGCTGCGGCCTGACGATTATGCTGGAATTTCCCGGATCCTTCCCCTCTTCCTCCTCATCCAAATCCTTCTCCCTCGTCCCTCTCAGTGCCAGCTGATTGACGCTCCACGTTTCGCTCCTGCAACTTGTGCTGCTCCTGCCCCTGCTCTGGCCACACCACTCGGCCGGCCTTCACCCCCCCCCTTCCCCTCCCGCTCCCGCTTCGGGAGCGGAAAAGAGGGGGGTGTTCAAGAGGGGGGGGCGCAAATCATGACCGGCGGCATGTGCGCGGCCCAGCGGGGGGACCAGGGACGTAATGAAACAAGAAGAGGCGCCATGAAATCTGGGGAAACATCATGGCCCGCGCCATGATATCCACCCCCCCCTAGTCATCACCCCCCTCTTTTCCGCCCCCGACCGCTTCCGCACCCCCGCTGTCCCTCCCGTCCCCTCCTCTCCCCTCCTCGCTGCAGCCGGAGCCAGGACCTAGGACCGCACCGGACCTCTGGGGTCCGGCGGCTCCGGAGGACGTGTCGGGCGCCGCGGGCGCTCCAGAGCGCTCTCGAGGCGCTCGCAAGGAGCTCTCTGGCACGAGGCGTCCTGGTCCCGAGCCCGCCCGATCGCTCCTTCCCCCCTGCACCCTGCCCCTCCCTCCCTCCCTCCCTCCCCCCTCCTTCCCCCCTGCTCCTCCCGTTTTTCACTTGGTGAACTGACTTGCTCTTGCTCTTGCCCCCCTGCTCCTCCCTCCCTCCCCCCTCCCTGCCTCCCCCGGGACCTGCCCGATCGCTCCCTCCCCCCCGGTTCTGCCCCTCCCTCCCCAGCACCCCCCCCCCCCGGACTGGGCCTACGCCGACATTCTGCACCCGCGCGCGCACGGGAGCGACCACCATGAGGCCCCCTCCGCCGCGGGGCACGCAAGCGGTGGCCGAGGGCACTTGGGAGGGGGAGGGGACGGGGGGAAGGAAGCAGAGGAAGGGGGGAGAGAGGAGGGAGGAGGGAGGAGTAGAGGAGTAGAGGGACGCGAGGAAGCGGGGAGGGGACGGGAGGAGAGAGGAGGGAAGCGGGGAGGGGACGGGAGGAGAGAGGAGGGAGGAGAGAGGAGTAGAGAGTAAGAAGAGGAGGAGGGAACTTCGTGGAGAGGAGAAGAAGAAAATTATCCCGGCAAAGCAACCTAACAGCGATGTGTACGAGCATATCTGGAAGCATTCCCCTTAAGATTCAGATGAGAATCCAGTTGTAGAATTCTGCTGTTCTCGCAGTCGTAGTCGCATTCGCGATGACAGTCGCAGTGGCAACGGCAGTCGCAGTCACAGCCTCAGCCTCAGCCTGCCTCAGCCTCAGCCTCAGCCTGCCTCAGCCTCAGCCTGCCTCAGCCTCAGCCTCAGCCTGCTTCAGCCTCAGCCTCAGTCTGCCTTCAGCCTCGGCCTCAGCCTCAGCCTGCCTCAGCCTCAGCCTGCATCAGCCTCAGCCTCAGCCTCAGCCTCAGCCTCAGCATCAGCCTGCCTCAGCCTCAGCCTCAGCCTGCCTCAGCCTCAGCCTCAGCCTGCTTCAGCCTCAGCCTCAGTCTGCCTCGGCCTCGGCCTCAGCCTCAGCCTGCCTCAGCCCTCAGCCTGCATCAGCCTCAGCCTCAGCCTCAGCCTGCCTCAGCATCAGCCTGCCTCAGCCTGCAGCCTCAGCCTGCCTCTGCCTCAGCCTCA